CTCTCTCTCTCTCTCTCTCTCTCTCTCTCTCTCTCTCTCTCTCGCATGACACAAGACATGAATGTGGTTAAATGAGTCTCACCTGAGTCCGCCAGCATTGATCATGATGTTTCTGTTCAACCACTCAATACACTTAAACTAGACGAACAGTTCCTCCTACGTTCTTGAACGAAACACATTAAAATCCAGCATCGTTTATTCTGCCCCATCTGCAGGAAACTCACGACCTCACTTCCGCTCTTGCGCTTGTCAACACAAACCAAAATAAAGTGCCCACCTGGACTTCTTCGCTGCTGTGTGTTATTTTCATATGGATGCAGGACATGCAGGAACTCGCGTTTTTTATTTATTTATTTAATAATTTGCGCTGTTTGATTTTTTTCTTGCGTAATTTAAGAAACTGACATGAGAAGTTCGGCAATCTGAAGCGGAAGTTCGTCTCGAGCAGCGCTCCGGAAGCAGCTCGCGTTACCATGGCGACCGCAGCGCGTCCTGTTGTTATGATGCAGGTGAGATGATCGCATAGCTGTAGACCATGCTGTCCAGCGCGCCGCACGCCCGCGGCTTCATCCACAAACCCGCGCCGACCCATCCACAACCCCGGTCCGAGGTGCGTCTCCGCCGGTGTCCCGTGTTCCTCAGTGTTTCTCAGTGTTTGTTTCTCCGTGTCTGTCTCTGACTCGCTGCTGTTTTCCAGGCTGTGAGGGTCACCGATCTCTCTCGAGTGCTTCAGCTGCTGCAGGACCCGCTCTCGGTAAGACGCGTGTGTATGGCAAGCCGCTTTAACATTCAGTGCGTGCACTTTCTTTCTCCATGCTACTAGCACTTATTCTTTAGCTACTACTGATTATTTTTAGGCTATAGGTAACTTTCTGAAGATTCTAGTCTACTTATGAATTAGATAATAGTTCTCATTTATTATTTTCTAGTACTTGTTTCAATAGTGACTAGTAACTATTCTACTGTTACTAGTAACACATTTCAGTCTTTACCCTTGACCTCGATGGGATCTGTCGTTAAGATATCAACTAGTCAGTTCTGACCAGTATGCATTCCAATAGCGATTAGTGTATTTTTAATTTTACTAGTATGCATTCATTACATACTGTACATTTTATTAAACACTACTATTTACTTATTAAATGCTACTAAATATAGTATGTATTTAATAGATATTAGTAGTTATTCATTGGGTACTAGTACTGCTTTTTAGACACTAGTACCCTTTGTAATTGTTACTAGTAACAAATCTGACTAGTCACAACTGATTTGTTTTCTTGTCTTATGTTCTGACTAGTTAGAATGACCACTGTAGAGTTCAATCAAAAAATCTCACTGGTAACACTTGGAATAAGTACTAGTATCTAATAAATATTAACTAGTATCTATTGAATACTTACTAGTAGCCAAGCAATACATACTAGTATGCAGTGAATAAGTTCTAATATCTACTAAGTACTAGTATGTTATAAATAGATAATTGTTTCTATTTAATAGGTAGAAGTATCTAATGAACAAGTACTACTGCAGTATATGATTGTGTATTAGAATTTAATAATAGGTATTACTATCTAAAAAAAACTACTAGTCCCTAATGAATAACTACTAGATCATAAAATATATATACTAGTCACTACTGTAGTACATACTCGTCAGAAGTGAATAGTTGATATATTAAAGGGGTCATATGATGCTGCTAAAAAGAACAGTATTTTGTGTATTTGGTGTAATGAAATGTGTTTATGCGGTTTAAAGTTAAAAAAACACATTATTTTCCACATACTGTACATTATTGTTTCTCCAAGCAAAGTAGTTTCGCTTTCACAACGAAACACAGCGCCTTCATGAATAAAAGTTACGCCTTCTTTCTTTGCTTGAACATTTGGGCGGTGTTATGCAAATCTTCCCACATAGTGTGGTAGATATGTGGGGGCGTGTTCGAACGAGCCGTTTTAGGTAGGTGTGGCTAACTCTTAACTTTTATAAAGAATATCTCTTTGGATTTGAGACTTTAGTCTTTGCAACTTTACAGATCTTCTTTATGCACCAAGAGCTTGTAACACTCCAAAGAGAAAGGAAAAAATGAAATCGCATCATATGACCCCTTTAAAGACAGATCCCCATAAAGTCAATGACAATGAAATGTGTCACTAGTAACAATAGAATAGTTACTAGTCACTATTGAAATTTGAACTAGTATATGATAAATAAGTACTAGTATTTAATAAGTACTATTAAAAAGGTACTAGTAGCTAGAGAATAAGCACTGTAGCTAATGAATAAATACTAGTACTTAATGTAAAATTGACTAGTATCTAAAAATAAGTACTGGTAGCATGAAAATACATTTATGCTTTAAAGGTTAAATGTTAATGGGCTTGCCATACAGTGTTTGCTTCATCTCTTGTTCAGTATTGAGCTCATTTTTAACATCTCTCTCTTGTTTCCAGTCCTCACTAAAAGAAAGGCAGATTTTTATCTTGAAGAAGGTGGTAAAACAATGCCAGCGTGGATTTGTATCCTAAAAGTTTCATGTAGATGACACTGTCATAATCATGACGACATTAAAAATGGTGTTTTAAAAGAAAAGGTGATTCAAAAGCGGAAGTATATTAATGAGAGCTTCTTTTTTTTTGCATACATTTTTTGCATTCTTTGTTTATAAAAATGTAAACAACAGAATCATAAGATGGGGAAAAAATTACAAATTGTTTATATTATATTATATTATATTATATTACCGTATATTATATTATATTATATATTATTATTATATTGTAGAAAAGATAAAACCCATGACCAAATCGAAATACTGGGGGTTCTAAGTACAACTAAAAAATTCACAAATGATCAGATAAAATCATAAATGTTTTGTTTAGGTGGGGTTCTGTTTATATGTGATATAGTGCAGATGCAGGACAGTGTGAGAGTGAATAATGGTTCTGCTGATGTCAGTGTGCTCTAGGATACTACAGTCCCTGATGTCTCAGTGTACAGCACTACAGTCAGCATTTTCCAGCTTCAGATATTAGCTGATGTTTGGTGTGACGCACTGCATGACGCTCTGAGAGTCTCTGTGCAATAATCCTGTGATGAAGATGATGAAGGTGACATGATTAACACTTTCCTTAAAGTGCCCTTGTCCAGCTTTTGAGGGACCTCGCTGACATATGTAAGATTATGAATGTTTGTGCTGAAAGAGTGTCCGATCATCCGGAATATGCCAGAATCCTCTGTGATTTACTGCAGATATGCAGGTGTGATATCAGTCTTTATAGTCTTTATAGCAGACTGTGAACAGACATGAATGTGAACTAATGAAATCTTCAATGCTTCATGTCTTCAAGTCTTCCCTTCCTGAAGGAGAAGTCGTCTGATGAGATGAGCTATGCCGCTGTGGTGACAGACTGTGTGTCTCAGATGGGTGAGCATATTAACCACATGATCAGCAAGATTTAAAAAAGAAGAAAATAATGCTTTCATTCAAGGATGCATTAAACTGATCAAAAGTGACAGTAGAGGCATTTATAATGTTACAAAAGATTTCTATTTCAAATAAATGCTGTTCTTCTGAACTTTCTATTCATCTGTGAATCCTGAAAAATAAAATGTATCACAGTTTCCACAAAAATATTGTGCAGCACAACTGTTTTCAACATTGATAATAATCAGAAATGTTTATTGAGCAGCAAATCAGCATATTAGAATGATTTCTGAAGATCATGTGACACTGAAGACTGGAGTAATGATGCTGAAAATACAGCTGCGCATCACAGAAATACATTACAGTTTAACAGATATTCACATAGAAAACAGCTGTTTTACATTGTAATAATATTTCACTATTTTTACTGTATTTTTGATCAAATAAATGCAGCCTTGATGAGCAGAAGAGATTTTGAAACATTGAAGAATTGTAATTATTCTACACTTCTGTCCAGTAATGTAAAGTCAAATAAAGAACCGTATAAAAAAGAAAATCAAAAGTAAAACAGTTTTGAATAATTTTGAATTTTGGGGTTAATGTGGTAAAATAGAGTTTGATTTCTTTATGCAAATTATAATTTCTCTTTTTTGTCTTTTGTGTGATATCTGATCCCAGCTTTGGCTAAATTCAGTGTATTCCTAGATTTCTGAGTGAATTCTGGCGTTTGTGTGCACATGTTCTCTCTCCGCTGGATGAGTGTATTCTCTCTATAATGAGTGTGTTACGACAGGTTTTCTGATGAGGATCCCGCTGCCGGAGGTGCGGCGTCAGATCTGCTCGACTGTGATCGCCTTCTACAGCCGCGACAAACACTGTACTGATGTGTGTGTGTGTGTGGATGTGTGTGTGTGTCTGTTTCAGGCCTGTCTCCCGCTCGTCTGGACTACAGGGCTCTGATGCTGGAGCGCAGTGGTGTTTCTGAGACGCTGGTGATGTCTCTGGCTCTGATGGAGGAGCAGCTTCCGGTCAAACTGTGTCTCCTGCAGACGCTGCAGATCCTGTCCAGAGCATCAGGTGACCATCAGAGCCCTTGCTCGCTCTCAGTGCGTCACAGCTCCGTCTGAACCTGCCGTGTGTTTCCTGACAGAAGTCAACTGTAACCTGATGCTGAGAGCTCAGGCTGCGCAGAAGATCTGCTTCCACATGAGCGAAGGAGATCCGTCCGGAGAGCTGCTCTTCAGATCCTCCGAGATCCTGTGGAACCTGCTGGAGAACGGCTCCCGACAGGAAGTGACCTCACAGCTCAGCAGCAGCGACTGCATCGCGTGAGTCAAACACAATACTGTAGCCATACTGCTTCATCAAACCACCACACTTATTAAATTCTGTCCAGTTCTGATTTGATAAAACAGTCCATGCTTAATCAACTCTTTTATCAGATATCAGATTTTTTTTATGGACAGCGAGATATGGTTTAAAACTTTTTCTATTCAATCTCAGATCAGTTCATCACATCTCACAACAAGAGGAAAAAAAGCAAAAAATAACAACAGGTGAATTGCACTAGAAAAAAATCAGGTAATAATTAAATAAATACAGCAATCAAATTCAGGACTGATGAATTAATTCTTATGCAGTTTAGAAAAAAAAATAAACACACATTTTAAAAAAGTCATTTGGGTTCTAGAAAAAAAAGAAGAAGAGAAAAAAGACTTCAGGCTCAAATAAAAATTCAAAGAACGAAAAACACCAACTAATGCTTATGCTTATTCACCTTCCATATAGTAGCTTTTCAATTCGTGCACATATACTACAATTTTATTTTAACTAGTTTCCAAAAAATATTCTAAACTATAGCACTTACAAACTACAAACAATATTAAGTCAACAAAAAAGAAAGATACTCACTGTATTACTGGGCCCAGAGGAGTAATTAAAAACCGCAGTATATTCTGCACACAGCAGTGAAAATACAAGATTTACTAAATAAAAACATCAGTAACTTGCGTGCCAAATAATAAAACACTCCCTACACTACAATCCTGCTCAAACAAAACCCTTCATATAAAGCACGGAGCTAACGTATAAACCACAACACTCCCTCAATCTGAAGAACAGGAAAAATACTAAATAGAAAAAGATTGTTGACAGCTGTCACAGTGCAATGGTTTATTAGCAGCAGAAATGAAAAGCATTGGTTCTCTGCATGACAGTAACGGGAGGAATGTGTCAAGATGAGCGTGCTCTAAACCTTCCCATGATTCTCTCTGTGCTGCAGATCTCTGAAGGACGTGTTTCTCCATCTGCTCCTGAAGGGTTTCCGTCATCACGAGCATCAGCTGAGGAACGACCTGCTGGTGCTGCTGTCTCTGATCGCGGAGAAGCCCGGCGCTCCTCTGATCGTGAGTCTTCATCCTCCTCCTCATCCTCCTCATAACTCTTCCTCTGCAGCTCTCAGCGAGCGTCTGTGTGTTTCAGGAGAGCGGCTTCCTCAAGCATCTCACACCGTTCCTCACGTTTCCCGAGCGTAAGTACTGCTGATTTAACCAGCGTTCATGACAGCAGCGAGAACATTCCTCACACATCTGTGTTTCTCAGTGAAGAGCCACAATCCTCTGGTGAGAAACCTCAAGCTGTCCTTCAGCCAGGAGGACTTTGAGATGAAGAAGCTGCTGCTGAACATGATCGTGGTGCTGTCGAGAGATCTGGCTGCGCTGCAGGTGAGACGAACACATGATCGAGCGACACTCATTCTCACCATCCTGCAAACCCCTGCGACTTTCCTTCTTCTGCGGGGGGCAAAAGAGATGTATGCTAAATATATGTGCTAAACAATAAAGCTCAATGAAATACAGTGTTAAAATGAAAATATATTTAATTTTAAAGAGGTCATGAACGGCCTCTGTTTTTTATTTTGTGCTGTTGTCTGAAGATCCACTCATAATTTTATCAAGATTTTTACATCAAAACACAAGTCAAGTCACCTTTATTTATATAGCGCTTTTAACAATACAGATTGTGTCAAAGCAACTGTACAGCATTAATTAAGAAAATAGTGTGTCAATAATGCAAAATGACAATAGTAAACACTCAATGTTCAGTTAAAGGCAGTTCATCATTGAGTTCAGTGATGTCATCATCCAGCTCAGTTCAGTTTAAATAGTATCTGTGCAATCAAGTCTACGATATCGCTGGAAATTAAGTGCATGCATAACATAACATCATAATTTAGAAGTAGTAGTCCTGTTCTGTCTTTAACCCCTCATCAGAGCGCTCTGGAGGATTGTAGACTAAACGCCACTGCTGTGATTGTTTCTCACACTTGTGTTTCGACATTACTGTCGGATCCAATACAGTCGCACAGCATCGTCTTTTAGTTTCAGTCTTCCTGAAAATCCTGTGTCGAATTGTGCCTTGTTTATAAACGAATCCGCGGTAAAATGAAGTGAAAGGACCACGTTCTTACAGACACGGTCTGGATCTTCATTAAAAATCAAGTTCATTCACTCTCTCCTAACATTTGGATCAGATGGAAGGCCATGCAAACACTGTTTTTCCACAGCTTGGCACTGCACAGCATCTTGTTGTCTTCAGAGCATCTTTATCGTTTGGTTTCTGCACAGACCTGTGTGTTCGTCTCTCTCGTAAACCTGTCTTCGTCTCTCGTGCGGGACTAAACGGGCAGTGATGTAGAATCGGTGGGTGGGGCTAAACGGACAGTGATGTAGAAGGGCTAACCAGATAGTGATGTTGATGTCCTGCGGGGGCGGGGTTTATCCACACTATTACATCATAGAGTAGAACACTCCACAAGCTGTCGTTTTGGCAGACTGCCTTCAATATAAGCTGTTTTTAGACTAATGAGAAAGTTTTAACTTCTGAAACATACAAGATGTTTTTATAGTACAATGACCTTTTATATATGAAAAGAGATCAAGGGAATTTTGGTTTCTGAGTTCATGACCTTTGAACACACTGTGTTGTTTGTGATCTAATGGTGTTTGTCTCTGTGGTGAGCAGTTGTTCAGAGAGGGCCGTGTGATGCTGGCTCTGATGCTGCTGGTGAAGCCGAGCTCGTCTGCGGAGCGCAGCCGCAGACACAGACACAGATGGAGCTCCAGACAGCAGGAGGAGCTGCAGCTGCAGGCTCTGTCCACACTGAGCGCTCTCGCTCCGCTGATGCTGGATGAATACATGAGCTGTCAGGCCAACACCTGTCTGCTGCTGCTGCTGGACTGCTGCCTGCAGGACGGTACAACACTCACCGTGCACTTCATTCACCCGCACACTGATTAGGGCCCTAAACGCTTTTAAACGAAAGCAGAAAGTCTTAAATCCATAAAGTCATGGCATTAAATGTTGCATGAACTGCAAAAAATGAATCTCTTCCTCAGTATTTCTGTCTTGTTTTCCAGTACACATATCTAAACATCCTTCAATCAAGACACATTTACTGGAGATGCAAAATGAAGATATAAAGTCTTGTTTTCTAAAAAAACAAGAACAAAATGGAGTTCATGATTAAAACAAGAACAAATGAAGAGCCTCTAAGTACTTTTTGAAATTTTCTTATAAACTGAGCATTTTTCTCAGGCTCCTATGTGTAGGTTGAGTTATTTCACTTTAATGGCAATTAATAGGTTCTTTTCATTGGCATTAAAGTCAAATAACTGAACGTATACATAGGATCCTGAGAAAAATGCTCAGTTTAGAAGAAAATTTCAAATGACACTAAGAGGCTTTTGCATCTGAACTCTTCAAATATTGATTAAACAGTGATTTGTTGACTCAAGAACAGCTGCAATTGGATCAGTGTGATTCGCAAATGAATCGTTCAGTGCAATTTGTGAACCAATTCATCACAGGAAAGAATCAGTTCGTTCACGAATCGGACATTGTGTGTCAGAGGCAGTGGTGGTTTCTTCAGAATGGAATTTAAAAAGTAGAAGTAAAAAGTTTGATACTATGCTTTGGAACATAGTGAAGTAATACTTTCCCAAAGTAAAAAAACTCTCTGATAAAGCAGCGATTCTGAAAGTTGAAGTGCTCTGTCGCTGATCGAGACCTGTCTGTCAGACTCCTTCAGTGGGCGGGGTCACGGTTTCCACGGCAGCGGCGGCGGGAGGAGGGCTCAGCTGCGCTACTGTGTGCGTGTGCTCAGATCCGTGGCGTCTGTGGAGCACGAGCCGCTCCTGCAGGACCTGTGCGATCAGGGCGCCATCGGCCAGCTCTTGGGTGAGTCTCCTTCAGTCTCTTACAGTCTCCTACAGCTCAGACTCACTCACAGCGGCTCTGTGTCCAGGTGTGCTGCGCTGGTTCCTGGGGAGGCCGCAGGACGAGGACGCTGTGGCTCTGGAGATCCAGACGGACTCTCTGTTCCTGCTGTCTGTGCTCTGTGAGGGAGACGTGCACAGGAAGGTGAGACGCGTCTCCTGCTGTCTCACAGCGCCGCTGTACTCTCTCCTGATGACTGACGAGCGCTGCTTGTGTTCAGGAGCTGTTCGGGACTGACGGGGTGGAGGTGCTGATCCAGTATCTGAGTCTGGACGCCGCGCTGGTCTCCAGCGGTCTGGGTCATAATAAACTGCTGCTGTCCACCGTCGACTGTCTTTGGTAAGACGCGCGCGTCTTTATCTGTTCACACCAAGAACAATAGTTTTAACTATAACCATAACGATATAACGTTCTGTTTATTGTAATCACACTGCAGTTGTGTCACTTTAAATTAGGGCTGAAAATATTGATTCTCATTTTGATAAACCAGTACTGATTCTTAAATCCCAATAATCGATCTGTGCTGTTTTCAGATGATGCCTGAACAAAACTTAACCAAACATTTGTAGCTCCTCCTGTCCAATAATCACAAAAAACGTTGTTACTTTTGATATGAAACAAAGTCTCCGCTTCCAAATTCTGTCAGTTTTATTATGAAATGTAATCAGTAAATGTGTTTTTGTGGCTCTTTAATGTGTGCTGACAGATCGCTGATCATCTGTTCCTCTTTACTACTAGTTACAGCAGCAAATAACATTAATGAACAGCAGAAACAGAACAGCTCACTGAATCAATAATGTCATGTAACATCACATTTACCTCAGAAAAGACATTTAATGTCCATAAACTCAATAATCAGCTAGAAAAATAACTCTAGAGAAGAGCATTTTGATCTATATATGCACTTTATTACATATTCATTATATTTACTGAATTAAAACATTAAACATTTAATATAAAAAAAAACTAAAAAACATTTAATATTTAATGTGTTTGAATAAATCTGTCACGAAAACATTACTTATGACATCCACTGTTTAAATGTATATATTTCAGCAACAAACTGGAGTAGAAACACAATTACATTATTAAAACATTATCATAATAATTTTGTATTATATAATACATTTTATTATGGAAACTGCCTTATGTGCAATTTAAATGTTTATGAATTACTATGAATCACTAATATAGTAATGTAACGACTGACAGAGTTTATTATAATGTTTACAGCATTAGTTCAGAAAAAAACTTCCTTGAAAAAAGTTGACATGCACTGAACCTGATTGCCTAAATATCCAAAATTGAGATTGAAATCAAATCAAGTTTGTGAACCGAAATCGAATTGAATCATGAAATTTGTCTTAATCACCAGTCTACTTTAAATGCTGGAGCTCTTCAAAGTCAGATGGATTCTGATTGGCTGTCAGTGTTTTTATGGTTCAGAACGTTCTGGGGTGTGCTAGTTCCATTGAACTCTATCGTTAACGACAGAACTTGCGACCATAGTTGCTTTTGGGAAACGCTCCCCTGAAAGTGATTCCAGCGATACTGTTCCACTGTGTCATTATGAACTCCGCTGTTCTTTTCAAATCTAGAATGAGTTTAAAACTATATCTTTATTGTGAATGTGCTTTCACTCATTCATTCTCGAAAGCGACTCCCCTGTGCGAATGTGTCTGCAAAATGACCAGAGGATGAGGTTTTCCGCACACATAGAGAGATGAGAATCTCCTCCGGTCTGCTGTGATCTCTCGTGTCTCTCTCAGGTCGTGTGTGCTGGGGTGTTTCGGTACGGAGGATGTGTTCGTGGCCGGCGGCGGCGTGGATCTGCTGCTGCAGCTGCTGCAGGTGAGAGCTGCGCTCTGCAAACAAACAAACAAATACTCATACTTTTTTCAGTTTCACAACATGTTCACATCCTGATCATTTACTTTAATTGATGGACAAAGACATTTCTCCACAAAAATCTATGTCATAACAAACTTAGCACATTTCTTTTATTCTTTTTTGGGTTTGTTTAAATAGGCTATGACTCATATTTTTGTCTGGTCTTCATTATTATGACTGACTTCAGTCTAGCGCGAGTTTAAGCACTCTCAAAACAACTCCCGTTATAATCAGCGAAGCTGTGAATCTCTTACTTACCTCTTACTTATCTCTTACTCTTATCACGTTGTTGTTTATGATGAGAGAATGCAGTCCGCTAGCGCATACACTGAACAAAACTCCAGCGTTTCAGCGATGACTCATCTGAACGCCTCTGATTGGCCGCTGCATTCATAAACTCAACAGAATCGTGTGTAATTGGTTGCAATGCAGACACTAGCAGATCTAAATTTAATGTCACAATGCACACTTTTTATTTAATTTTCACTTTATTCGCGACAGCTGTATTAGATTTAGTTAAGTTGTACTGGGGAATTTTTGGTGGCATTTTTTCCCAAGACCCCCGTTAATTTCCGACCAGTGTCCAGGGAAGCCTTGCCCAGCCTTACACACATTCCACCTGCCACCAGTATCATGAAGTGTAAATATGGCCACTTTGCTGACTTCACAGCAGATGCGATGGTGTTGTCGCCGCTAAATCCCGCTCCCGCTGAATGTCAGACCATTACTGCCCGCTCCCACAAACATTCTAATATTGTATATAGTATGCTATCAAGATGCAGGATACTGAAATCGCTTTTGAATGAGCGTTTGCTGTTCACTTTCTCTTTGGATTTGGTGATCTCGCGCACTCTGTGTTAAGGAGCACATCTTACGAGATCAGATATATGTGACCCTGCAGCACAAAAGCAGTGTTAAGTCGCTGGGGTATATTTGTAGCAATAGCCAACAATACATTGTATGGGTCAAAATTATACATTTCTCTTTTATGCCAAAAATCATTAGGATATTAAGTAAAGATCATGTTCCATGAAGATATTTTGTAAATTTCCTACCGTAAATATATCAAAACTTAATTTTTGATTAGTAATATGCATTGCTAAGAACTTCATTTGAACAACTTTAAAGATGATTTTCTCAATATTTAGATTTTTTTGCACCCTCAGATTCCAGATTTTCAAATAGTTGTATCTCAGCCAAATATTGTCCTATCCTAACAAACCATACATCAATGGAAAGCTTATTTATTCAGCTTTCAGATGAGGTATAAATCTCAATTTCAGAAAATTGACCCTTATAACTGGTTTTGTGCTCCAAGATGAGATATTTGTCAGTGAGCTCAGGATCTGTTGAGCAGCAAATCCTCCAGCATGATCTGTCAGTCATCTCTCCTTACTCTCGACCCGAGATCGCTCAAATCTCACTCCTGCAGCTCGTGTTGGATGCTGGGTTGCCAAGTCCGCATTTTTTCCATGGAATTGGACTACTTTTGTTGCCATGGGTTGATTTTCCCTGTGGGTTCAAGGATTGAAATATTGCATGAATTATATTTGACTGAAATGCTTGTATTGAAATACTTTGCATTCTACCTGTGATAAACTGCTCTAGATGTTCAGTTTTGTGAAGGAGGGCCGCTGGCAGGAAGCCTTGTATAGGTTTGAGTGTGTGTGTCATTGTGTGGTGTGTTTGCCTGTGTGGCGCGCAGCGGAGCCCCAGACACATGCTGACGCCGCTCGTGTCCGTGCTGCTGGAGCTGTGTGAGAGTCCCCAGGCCGTCACACACCTGCTGCGCTGGAGCGGAGAGAGAGACGCCAGCGCGCCGCAGCTGCTGCTGCACATCTGGAGGAGAGAGGAGGAGCAGACGGGCGTCTCACGAGACCCACACGGCATGATCACAGGTGCAGACGCCATAAAACAGAGCTATCACAGTCAAGCAGCTGTCAAACTAAAACGCTTACTGAAAAACGATGAAATATTTCATTTGTTTCACTGCATGTCATGTGACCATTAAACACATTAACTTAAAATCTCAGGGTTAGGGGGCTCAGAGATTAAAGTGCTCTGTGATTAAAGTGAACATGAAATCAACATGGAGCTTCTTAATGGAGCTGTCAGTGAACGTGATCGACTCGAAGAGCGTCTCCTCCTGCATCAAGCATAACCTGTTTGTTTCTCTCTACAGTAAAGTGACCAGATGCTCTGTTAAGACTCTCTCTCTCTCTCTCTCTCTCTCTCTCTAATAGACGTGAAGCGGCCGATTGTCTCTCGGCATCAGGATGAATCTTCATCATCATCATCATCACATGACGTCAGTGCTGCTGTCAGAGACGTATCAGAAAACCTGCGTGCAAACATCTACTGCATCTTCTGCAAACTGGGTACGAGAGAGAACAGTGTGTGTGTTGAATCAATCAATCAGCTATATTTTATTTATAAAGCCCTTTTCCTAACGAATCAATGCAGTTCAAAATGCTTTACAGTCAAAAACAAGCGATTGACACCAAGTTTAAACCGTAAATGA